AGGGTGAGGCGGCCTAGTGTGGCAGAAGCAGGTGAGGAGTAACGAGCAACTACAGCAGTGTACAGGTCCTTAGCAGTCTTGTGCTGGCCAAAATGCTCGCGCTCATCTATCGGTAGGGAGTTGCGAATAGCGAAGCGAGCGTGGGCGTCACGAGTCTGCCACTGTGAGCGCTGAGTGCTGTCTGCAGTGGTAGGAGGGGCAGTAGCGTGACCGAGGGCATGATCGTACAGCGAAATATCCTCCTTGGCAGTGAGCTGTAGGAAGAGGTGCAGGTCATCTAGCCAGGTGTCAAACTTCACTGGGCGGCCCTCAGCATCGAAAGCAAGTACAGGAGGACTAGCCATAGTGGCAGCAGCAGTAGTGGTAGCAGTAGGAGCAGTAGTAGGAGCAGCAGTATCGACGGGGCTGCTCAGTACGGGCGGCGCGGCTCGGTCGGGCGGCGCGGCTCGGTTCAGGTAGGACGGCGCAGCTCGGGTAGGGCGGCGCGGCTGCGCGGATCCGCTAAGCGGGGCGGGACGGGGTCGCGGGGCCGTTAGGTGGGGCGCGACAGGGCCGCGGGGCCTCTAAGCGGGACGCGACGGGGCCGCGGGGCCTCTAGGCGGGACGCGACGGGGCCGCGAAGCTGGTAAGCGGGGCTCGAAGGGGTCGCGGGGCCGGTAGGTGGGGCGCGACGGGGCCGCGGGGCCTCTAAGCGGGACGCGACGGGGCCGCGGGGCCTCTAGGCAGAGCGCGACGGGGCCGCGGGGCCTCTAAGCGGGACGCGACGGGGCCGCGGGGCCTCTAGGCAGAGCGCGACGAGGCCGTGGGGCCTCTAAGCGGGACGCGATGGGGCCGCGGGGCCTCTAGGCAGAGCGCGACGGGGCCGCGGGGCCTCTAAGCGGGGCGCGATCGACGGGGCCAGCGGGGCCGGGAAAAAAATAAAGGAAGCGCACGAGGGCGCTAAAGGGGAGGCACTAAAATGCGCTCCGATAGTAGAGCGCACGAGGGCGCTAGTAGGTAGTAGGTAGTGGTGGGCCCGAAGAGAACTTAGGTCCTAGCGAAGGACCTGCTCTGAAACCATGTCAGAATGAACAGACTGGAATGATTGAACTAACAGTGAAATCAGTACAAGTACCTAACCCTAGAATTGTGTACCCCCTATAGGCTAACCCACTGTAGCCTAAACAACCACAACATATATAATGTTTGACAGCTGGAGGTGACCGTTAACCACAACGTCACGCAATTCCTCGGCCTCAACGTGACTCAGTCCGCCTCCTCCATTCACCTCTCCGCCGCCAAATATGCCGAGACACCCGCGAAGCGGTTCGCCATCACCCCTATCAACCTCGCCACCCCCTATCGCACTCCTCCCCCTAACCACGAGCCCGACACCACACCGCTCTCTCCCGACGACCATCGTCTCTATCAGCAGCAGCTGGGATGTCTCCTGTTCGCCGCCGTCACGTGCCGGCCCGATCTCTCCTACGTCGCAAGCCAGCTCGCACAGTACCTGAAGCGACCTGAAGGGGAGAATCTACTGGATCTACGCCGAGCACTACAGTACTTCATTTCCACTCCCGACGTCGGCCTCACCTACGAAGCTAACCTCACCGCTACTCTGCAGCTCCATGGCTACGTAGATGCCGACCACGCTGGAGATATTGACAATAGACGCTCCCGCACAGGATTCATCTTCACCTGCTGGACTCATCTCCTGGAACTCTCAGAAGCAGGAGCTTATCGCCCTTTCGTCAGCAGAAGCAGAATTCATCGCAGCCAGCGTAGCTATTCGCGAAAGACTGTACCTGATGGAGCTCCTGCAAGAGGCGAAGGTGACGATGAACGGGCACTTCACGTTACTCTGCGACAATCAGAGCGCGATAAAGATCGCGAACAAGCCCGGCTTCGTCAACCGCACCAAGCACATCGGCCTTCGCTACTTCTTCGTGAAGGACGAAATCGACAAGGGGAGAGTCAAGCTGACGTACAGCCGATTTCCTGACGAAGAAACTGCCACGTCAGCAGTACCAGCACTGCGCCGACCTGCAACATGGTAACTGTCGAGGATAGCAATAGTCGCGGTTACTGTAGCTATGCAATACAGATATTAAGGGAATGTACCCCTCAGAGTACATGGCTAGCTAGATTTCTATTTAATCTCTTGTACTCCTATCTTTTAATCATCTAGTTCTTTTCAATTATTATTCAACAAGGTCACTACAGAGACTTCATTGTCTCCTCTCAGACTTAACAGATCTTATCCTATCTACTGGATCCTTTGATTATATCAGCAACTTATTAGTGAAATTTGGGTACCTTTCTGAGATGAGAATAGCGTGAATGTCATGGATGATAATGATGAAGTCGAAGAAGAGGCCAGCAGTTGCTTCCACTGTAGCAGGAGCATTGGTCGGGATAAAGTGTCTTGCTTTAACCTTGCCATAGCTGCTCCGGTACGGGTAGAGGCTGAAGTAACCCTGCATTTTTCCGCTTACTACTTTTCATCCACTTGCACGCGTCGCATGAGGTGTCGAACTGCTACCGTCATCACCCGGATATAAGACAGTGTTGAATAGTAGACAGGGGTTGTCTACTATACGGGTGTCTCTTATAAACAGGCTAGCCTCATTATAAGATACACATTTGTATGTACGAGATAAGACATATATGTCTTATAATCGAAACTTCAATATGTTGAAATACCGCGTACATTTTTACCCTTGCGAAGTGCAAATTCTGCCACGTGCTGACTCAGGACCTACCAAATGTGCCTCTGCAAGTTTTCTCCATGACGTGGCGTCTCGGGCAGTGGTTGCCGAAGTGGCACCTTCGCAACATCCAGACTCACTATGAGAAACTCTTTTTCAAGAAGTGGGGAATATATATCTAAGTAGTTTAAAAAGTTTCCATTTATAAGATTTGTACAAGATAACACAGGCATTTTTGCCCGTGTACGAGATTAGACATATATGTCTTATATCCGGGCGATGACGGTACACATCTGCTGCCATTTGGGGCCAGTGGTAATATTTTGCTATTTCCGCTAACCTCTTATTATTCCCGAATCGTCCCGTGTATGCTACGTCGCGAAACTCCTCCCGCAAGATCGGACGAAGCTTCTTTATATCGGTACCCAAATCTTTCTTGGAACCTTCCTTACCGTTAAGTCGTTCTCCCACTGTACCAGCTTTTGTTTCTGTGTTGGAGCGAAATCTGGTCGACGAGAAACGCTCTGCTTGGCGATACTCTCTCAAGCTTAGGGTACGTTATTGGCTTGTGTCAAGTTTAGCGACGCTCGTATTCGGCGCCAAAATAATCCTGCTGACCCCAGTTACATGTCCTTCAGTTTCATCAAACTTTGAACTTGGATACATGACCATCGCAAACAACCGTAAACAGATTCAGTGAAAGGGGTTACCAGGTGTTATGAATGAACTTGTCAGAGTGCGCAGATATCGAATAACGAGAATGACTTATTACAGAATGACGATACAATGAGGAAGGCACGACTAAATAGGGGAAATCCTAGCTAGGCGGGGGGTTCGGGATGGGATGGCTCGGTGATGGCTACGATTGGAGCGGAGGCCGACTCGGGAGTGGTTCGGTGCGACGAATTAGCCCGAGCAGGTTCATCGCGACACCTTCGGGATGTACTCGCTAAAGTGCGAGTACAGTAAGGAATTGTAATTCCTTACACCAGGAGAAAGTATATTTTCTTTTCGAATTTCTACACCAAAAGACACGCGCCCAAGTGTGCTATAGGCGTTGTTCTGCAGGCGTTATTGGCGCCGCACCAATTTGACCTCCGTAGCCTTCTGCGTAATTTCTAGGCGCATTCACGCTGGTTGCGTTGCACGGAAATTGCTGCCCCGCATAACTTGTGCGGAGGCTGATGCTAGCTCCCGAGGTAGAATCAGCACCGCACAAGTTGTGCGGCCATTTGCCCGGCTAAGCAACAACTTCGAACCTGCAAACCAGTAAATTTGTGCGCCCTAAAAGTGGCGTTCTGCAGGCGAGAGCGTTAAATAATGCGCGAACAGGTTTGGCAGGACTTCGCTTATCACCAAACCTTGATAGGCAGAAACCCACTTATCGACGAAGATTCTGCGGACCCAGTTTTTCGAAATTTAACGCCTACAGAACAGCGCCAGACCTTCTTCAAAGGCGCTGTTCTGCAGGCGTTAATTTTCTAGAAAGTGGGTCCGCAGAATCTTCCCCGATAAGTGAGCTTCTGCCTATCAACATTTGGTGATAAGCACGGTTCCGCCAAAACTGCTTGCGCCAAATTTAACGCTGCAGCCTCCAGAACGCCACTTTTGGGGCACACAAATTTAACGGTGTGAAGATTCCAACGATGTTGCATCTCCAGGCAAATGTCCGCATAACTTGTGCGGCCCCAATTCTGCCTCGAGAGGTAGAATCAGCCAGCGCACAAGTTATGCGGGGGAGCAATTTGAGAGATTTGTTAGTTGAGCGAGATTTCGTGGCAACACCGCCCAGCAGAGTGAGAAATTTGACATTTGGTGCGTCTAGAAGCTACGAGGAAGGACTAGGTCCGTACATTTGATGCGGAGGCAATAACGCCTACAGAACAGCGCCAAACTGCATTTTCAAGTTGTCAAATCGTAACGCGCTGCGCTTGAACAAGATCACGCACCGCACCCGCCAGCTATGCGTCTCCACGTCCGAGCTTTGAGGGTCTGGTCTCTTTTTTGGGGTCTGGAACGGTAATGGTGATTTTCAGAGCGGTTCTTTACACGCTTTGGTGTGTTCGAAACTACAAATATGCGAGGCATTGTTCAATCCAGTGCCGATGATGTTCGTCACCTTGAAGGAACCACCCCCACAAGCAGGGGGCAGCAGAAAGAGCAGGCTCATTTCAGGAAAAGCTTCTAGGTCAACAACACTCCCTGTCAGCAGGACTCCCCAACAGCAAGCGCAGTCCATGATTTAGCCTTCGAACTTCCTCGCACGAGCGCTACAAAGTTCGACATTGTACGATTTCTGTTCCAAATCCGATGGCGGGTGGCATGGAGTTTAAGCTAAACGGATTCGTTGTGAAAGTGCAGCCGACGCTGGAGACGGCGGGACAGATGGCGGAGATAGTTGCAGGCGCGAAGGAGCGATCGGAGGAGTTAGAAGCGCAGGTGAAGAGGCAAGACGAGGCCATGGCAGCTCTGAAGCGAGAGGTGGACGAAATGAGGCGCGCGATGGCGAAGGGGGCGCTGGAGCTGTTGAAAGCGGGGGGGGGACCACGGCTCTGGCAGTGCCGCGGCGAAAGCGGAAGTGGACGGCCTTCCAGCGCAGCCGGCGCCGAATGACGAGGCGCTTATGGCCCTGGTGGAGTGCATGATCGCGGCGCGGGTCAAGGACGTGCGGGACGAGCTCGAGTCGCAAGTGAAGGGATTGAAGGAGCAGGTGGAGGCGGCGAGACGCGAGGCGAGGGACGCCGCGAGGGAGGTGAGGGCGTTGAGCAAGCGGCAGTCGGCGGAGATAGCGGACGTGCGAGCGACAGCGGCGCACATTGACGCGCGGATGAACGACGTGGAGCTGGCGGTGGCGGAGTGGAAGGACGCGCGGGAGACGACACGCGCGGAGCGCTGCAACAACAACGACGGCAGCGCGGGGCAGAATGCAGATGCGGAGCGGCGCGAGGGAAAGAAGAGGAAGAGGGAGGTTACTAGAAATCGCGATGAGCTGGCAGACTCTGCTGGTGCGGCAGATGATGCTGAGGACGATGATAATGATGATGCGGCTTCTGATGAAAAGCGAGATGAAGGGGACGACTCGGAATGGGAGGAGGAATGGCAGGAGGTGAAGACGACGGTAGTGGCGGTGGGAACCAGAGTGGCGAAGCTGGAGAAGACGAGTGACGAGGGGAAGAGGGTGTGGGAGGTGAGTGCTTCCATTGGCTGATATAACCCTACATAAGCTCAACAAACTTGTTTTCGCCATTAGGGCAAGTTCACGTGACAACCGTAGTCCTTGGTTGATGACACATACACATTGAGTTCCACCATGATCCCTCCCACTGTGTCCAGTGCCTCGCTCTCAGCTGTCAGTCCATCGTGCTTGTGTCTGCCATTTTGTTTGCCCTGGCTGCAGGCAATGCTCACTCTGTGGGCGGCAGCAGCACCAGGGCAGACTCGAATGAACCTCAGCGGCATCTCCTGCCTCTCCGACGCTGCTCTCACCCGCCTGGCCTCGTTGCGCCACCTCATATTCGTCGACCTCAAAGGCTCCTCCGGCTTCAGTGCATCAGGGATGAGGCAGCTGTACTCCCTTGCAGGCCTGAACCATCTGATATTTGGGGCCATCGATGCAACTGATGCCGCTCTGGAAGGCATTTCCCGCCTGGCGAACTTGCGCATCCTGGTTCTTGACTACACAAAGATCACAGACGCAGGAGTGGCGAGGCTGCAAGAGCTGTCCGGCCTCACAGCGCTGTCCATGACCGGATGTGCGTCTGTGAGCTCTGCCAGCATGGTGCATGTGGGCAGAATGACGTCACTGCAGTTTCTCACATTGAACGCTAGTGGAGTCAAGGAGGATGGGCTGCAGCATCTGACTGCCCTCACGTCTCTCACAGTCTTCACTTTGCCCCCAGGAGTGACTGACTTGGGCATAAGGCATCTGAGGAATATGAAGCACCTTCAGAAGCTGGCACTGTGGGATGCCAGCATCACTGCATCAGGTATGATGTGGCTCCAAAAGGTTGCAACTTGTTCATACAAGATGGAGGAATTGATAAGGGACAATCTCCCTGGAGTAGTTATATCGGGTACACTCAATGACTGATAATGTGAAGATATTGTAGAAGGGTGTAGGTTTGAGCAGAGATCTCTAAGAGGGTCAAAGTGAAACTAATGCAGTATTCGTCCTGTACGTGCGAGACCGTACTCAGGTTCTGGTCAAAGAACTTACAATATCCCACCGAACCAGGGCCTCAGATTCGTTTGAAGGTACACTGAGGCCTCAGGGCAGTTTTTAGGAAATCAGAATTTGCCCTGAATTGTCAGGGCTGCATAGGGTGTGGTATCCTAAAATGACAGTGTTACCGTACATTCGCTGTAAACTCAGTGCTACATTACGTGATGGGTGAAGTGTGGTAGCGGTTGTGGCAAAGCGTTACGTAAAAGGTCTCCAGCTCGAATCCCGCCGCTCTTACGTGTGAGGTTCTCGGCCGTACACGTTTTGGGCCCCGAAACCAAGGAGATTTTTCGTACAGTATGACTCGCTTCAGAGCGAGATTCGACACTATCCTGACTCATCAGGGCTGAACCTACAGCCTTATCCTGAGTTTCCAGTACGCAAAATAACCGTTATACTGAAATTACAGGACAATTATTATTGTTATGCTGTTTTTCCAGGACTAGCACACGACACCTATCCTGAATTCAGGAGAATCAGGATAAATTATCCTGATAATTGAGGCCCTGCACCGAACCATTGTCAAGTTGTGTATCCTCCTCTCACAGGAAAGGTAAATAGAGACGGGAAGAGAAAAAGGGAGAAAGAGAAGAAAGGGAGGAAATGGGAAAGGAAAGGAATAAGGAAAGCAAAGCCATTGAGACCCAAAAGCCACACAAATGTGACACTCTAAGAAAACACCCTATCTAAAAGCCCCATTCTCCCACCCCCCCCCCCCCCCCCCCCCCTTCCCCCTCCCCCCCCCCCCCCCCCCCCCCCCTCAAACTGGAGCGGACACCAAATACTGAGCATCCACCCACAGTGCCCCCCCTCAACTCCTCCCTGTCCTCCCTCTCCCTGTCCACCAGGTCGATGTTGTCAAAATGAAGAATGGATGATGCATTGATGTTGGTTGGGGTACATATAGCTAACCCTAAGTTTTGTACCCCCTAAGACAAACCTCACTATAGGCTACAACATTTGACACACCCCCATAGCCTAAGTGAGGGGTGTCTAGCAGAACCAAACGAGTACGGTCACAAGACCAGTCCAAGAAACGAAGCTCAGGGTGGATCACAACGTCACCACACAGTCTGAGCACAAACAACAGTGGCCACAAGGCCAGTCCAAGAAGTAACAGAGGTATATAGAAAGCAAAGTAAACAGTACACTCAAGCCTAAGCAACACGAGAACCAGTGTCAACAAGGCCTAACTGCACACAGCACCTCTGGTGGTCACAAGGCGGAAGCGCCTTGGTGAAGATGTCTGCAGTGTTGGCCTCGGACTCCACAAACTCAAAGCGAGCCTGTCCACGCCTCTGCAACTCTCGCAGAAGAAAGTACCTGACGTGAATGTGCTTCACTCTGCTCTCCAGTCGTGGCTCTCGACAAAGGAGAATAGACGCCTTGTTGTCAGTGAACAAGGTCGGTGCAGAGCTCGGCCGCTCACCAAGGTCGGTGAGCAAGAAGGTCAACCAACGCAGCTCCTGTGCCGCCATGGCACCAGCGTAGATCTCAGCCTCAGCTGTAGAGGTCGAGACCGAAGAGGAGCGCGTGGACCGCCAGGAAACAGCTCCAGAACCCAGGCTGAAACAGTACCCCTGAGTAGACCTGTGAGTCTCAGCGTCGTCAGCGTAAGAGGAGTCACAGTGACCAGTAAGTACGACAGACTGCTGCCCTCCAAGAACTAGCCCCACGCCTGACGTCGTCGCTAGGTACTTCGCCACCCTCACAGCTGCTGTCCAGTGAACAGGACGGTGTCTCCCTGGCGCAACAAAGCGCGCAAGAACGCTGAGAGGGAAGGCGAGGTCCGGGCGAGTACAAGTCATCAGGTACATGAGGCAACCCACAAGCTCTGCGTAGGGACCACTAGGCTCGAACGGCTCGTCAGGAAAGGGTCCAGTGAGTCTGTGGTCAACAGCAAGAGGTGTGCGCTGTACTGTGGAGTGCTGAAGCCCGAACCGCTGAAGGACCTGCTGCACCATGTGCGACTGTGAAAGTGTAATGGTGCGAGCAGCTCTGTCCCTGGTGATCTGCAGGCCAAGGTAGTGGCGCAGCTCACCAAGATCAGTGCAGGTGTGTCTCTTCTGCAGTTCGGACTTCACGTGTGCCAAAGCAACCCTGTCAGGGGTGGCGAAAACAAGGTCGTCAACGTAGACCAGAACAAAGAAAGGTGTGGGGCCACGACGAACGAACAGCGACGGGTCAGCAGAAGACGGCTGGAACCCAAGGTCAGACAGGGTAGAACGCAGGGTGTCGTGCCACTCACGAGGAGCCTGACAAAGACCGTAAACCGGTCGCCTCAGCCTCCACTGGGTCCCAGGAGGGAAAGAGCCAGTGAAGGCAGAGGGACGACGCAACCAGACCTCCTCGTGAAGACTGCCCTGAAGGAAAGCAGTAGAGAAGTCGAGAGAGTGTAACTCGTAGTCTCTCTGTGCTGCTACATGCAGTAACACCCGAAGAGTGGTCATCTTCGGGGTGGGCGCGAAGGTCTGAAAGAAGTCAACTCCCTCGCGCTGACTGAAACCTCTAGCCACGTAGCGCGCCTTGAAGACCGGAGGAGATCCCGGTGGCCGCTTCACCCTGTAGATCCACATGCCGTCGACTACGTTCGCCCCCGGAGGGGGAACCTCATCGACGTAGGTGCCTGTGGATCTGTAGGAGGCCATCTCTGCGTCCATGGCAGCTCTCCACTGAGAGGCCCAAGGTCCTGACACTGCCTCAGCGTAAGTGCGAGGAGTCGGAATGTCAAGGGCGTCAGGGTCACCCTCAGGGGCGAGGAGCATGGCACAGAGATGAGGGGAAGCGGCCGCCAGGAACTCTAGCTCAAACTGCCTGTCCTCTAGGGCGTCACAGCCAAGGGCAGACACACCCCCGACGGCCAGAGGACTGGAAGGAGGAGCAGCCACAAGAGCGGTGGCGAAGTCAAGGCGGCGGGTAGAGGCAAACTCAGTGACTGCGGCAGTAAGAGCGGACACAGAGGACACAGAGGCACGAGGGTGGGTAACAAGAGAGGCGAGAACACGAGAGAGAACAGGACGGTACGTGCGGTAGTAGTCAGTGACAGGAGAAGGAAGCGACACAGTGAGGGCCGACTCAGGAGGAGACGGAAGCACAGACGGAGACGGACGAGGTGGACGAGAACAAAGGAAGGCTGTACGAAGGTCAGTGAAGGGAACAGGAGACGAGGGACGAGCACGAGGGGAGCGACGAGAGGCCCAAGTCTGAGAAGGAGGAGGAGACAACGAAGACTGAGAACGAGGGAAAACAGCGGGAGAGGGGTCAGGAGGAGGAAGCGGAGGACCAGAGACGGGAGGAGAGGGGGAGGAGGAAGGAGAGGGAGACGGGAGACCAAGGGTCCGAAGACCCGAGACAGGAGGAGGAGACGGCAGCTGCTGCTGCTGCGGCTGCTGCGGCTGCTGCTGCTCCAGCGGCTGCTGCCCCTGCTGCTGCTCCTGCTGCTGTCGCTCCTGCTCCTCGAGCCGCTGCAACTCTCTCTCCTCTCTCTCCAACTCCAGCTGCTCCTCACGAGCACGGCGAACACGAGCCTGGAACCTGGTCGGGTAGGGGTGGGGGGAAGGAGTAGTGTCCGGGGCAGCGGCAGCCCCAGAGTCGACCTCCGAAGCACCAAGTACACCACCCCCAGAGGCAGCACCAACACCAGCTCCAGACCCAGGCTCTCTAGAAACCGAAGGGACACCCTCACCCCCAGACGCAGCACCCCCAGACTCCGCACCAGCACCCCCAGACTCCGCACGACCAGTACCAGCCCCCGGAAGACAAGAGTCCTCTGCAACCCGCGGCTCAGCTCCAACTCCAGCACCCCCAGAACCAGAGACCTGTACAGGGACAGTCGCAGGACCAACCTCCCGAGAGGGAGCACCTGCAGGAGGCGGCGAGGAAGACTGTGGGGAGGGAGGCTGTACAGGGGGGGCTACCGAAGGGGGAGGGCTAGCCTGAGACACACCAGACGGGGCTGGACCAGGGGGGGGAGGCTGTACCGGGGGAGCAGGCGGGGGAGCGGCGGTCAGGAAGAGAGGGGGGGGAGGGACCGGGAGACCTCGACTGGGGTACCTGACGTAGTAGGGGGTGGACTCCTCAAAACGGACGTCACGGGAGTCAAAGAACCGGTGAGAGGGAGGGTGGTAAAAGGTGAAGTCAGAGGAGTCCTCAGGGAAACCAAGGAAGACACAAGGAACGGCGCGAGGCGAGAGCTTGTCCGCGGAGGTGTCGCGGACAAGAGCCAAGCACCCCCAGACACGAAACCTCGACGCGACACCAGGGGACCCTGTCCAAAGACTGGTCGGTGAAGCCTCCGGCCGAGAGACGCGTGGCCAGAGGTTCAGCTGGTGCGCGGCGTACCTGACCGCGTATGGCCACAGGAAATGGGGGGCACGGGCGTGAGTCAAGGAGGTGCGGGCAATCTCCATGACCAGGCCTATGCGACGCTCAGCAACCCCATTCTGCTGTGGGGACTCCGGAAGCGTCCAGGACTGACGAATGCCCTGTTCGCGACAGAATCCAGCGAGAATGCCGGAGCGAAACTCGCCCCCGCGGTCGGAGTGGAGACAGCTGACACGACGACCACGAGTGTCCTGGGTGGTAAGCAACCACCTGATCAGCGTAGAAGTCACCTCAGACTTCCTCGCCAGGGGGAACACTGTGGTGTAGCGGGAGTAGTCGTCAACGACCACCAAAAAGAAACGCTCACGCTCAGGGCCAGGGCGAGGAGAGGGGCCCCAGACGTCCAAGTGCAGCGTCTCAAAAGGCTCGGTGGCCGGACAAAGGGAGGAGGAGTGAGGGGTGGCGCGCAGCCTACCCTCGACGCAAGGACCGCACGGTGGTGCAAGAGACGGCGGCAGCGACGGCAAGACACGCGGGAGACCTAAGACAAGACGCTGACGAGACATAGCGCGAAGACGAGGAGGAGAAGGGTGCCCCAGCCGGTGGTGCCACAAAACGGTGGGGTGGGCAAGCGACCGACAGGAGCACGACGCAGCGACCGGACTAGACGGAGGAACCTGACAAGACACAGCTACCTGGGGGGACGGAGCAACCTGGTGAGACGCGAGGACTCGAACGGGGGGCAAAACAGGGGCCGGGGGCAGGAGGGGCGGCTGTGGCTGCGGCTGCGGCTGCTGCTGCTGCTGCTGCTGCTGCTGCGGCTGCTGCTGCTGTTGCTGCTGCTGAGCGCGCGGGCCAGTGTGAAGAGTGTAGAGACCGGAGCCCGGCTCAGCAGCAAAAGTGGCGAGGGGCTGGTAAGAGTCCCCGTCAACACACACCGCAGTCTCTCCAGAAGGCTCAAACCACACACCCACGTGCTGACTCACGAGGGGTCGCACGCCCACCAAGTTCCGGGAGAACGAGGGGACGTGAAACCCAGTGAGAGACCCAGAAGGAGCAGCCGGACACGGCAAGGTGGTAGTGTGACGCGCGGTGACTGGTCCCGAAGTGGGATCAGCCAGCGCCACAGAAACAGGCGCAGGAAGAGGCGTAAGTGTCGTGCTGTCACGAAAGAAGCAGTGAGAGGCTCCAGAGTCCAGCGTGAACGACAGCGAACCGTCCTCTGAGGTAGCCGCTGGACTAGAGTCTACACAAGAACCTACACTAGCAACAGGCAACTGAGCAAGGCTAGCACCTAAGCTAACAACACCAGAGTAAACAGAGTCAGAAACACTAGAGTCAACAACAGCATACATAGCATGGGGAGTACCAATCAGATCAACTAACTGCTCAGCAGACATGCCCCACAGAGCGGAGCCGTAGCGCTGAACAAGAGGCAGCCAGTCAGGGGCAGGAGCACCAACCCCGTAGACCAAACGAACCGTGTCAGTGAGCTGAGCAAAGCACTGACCAGGGGGGTGAAACCGGCCACAAGGGTGGCCACGACGAGTGCTCTGATACCATGTCAAAATGAAGAATGGATGATGCATTGATGTTGGTTGGGGTACATATAGCTAACCCTAAGTTTTGTACCCCCTAAGACAAACCTCACTATAGGCTACAACATTTGACAGATGTCTGCTCCTCCCATAGACGATGCAGCGCGAAGCAGAATTACTCGAGCTTGGGCATGCTGCAAGGCCACTCCAATCATAGCTTTCAAGGAACCCATGAGATAAGAAGAAAAAGACTGATCATCCTCCCGACACGCCCCCCTCGAAACGGCAAGTCCGAAATGTGCATCCCCCTGCTGCCGCAGCCAACGCCGAAAACGTCCTCCGAGGCACCCCCATGTCTCAACAACCAAAGGGGTGAACTGCACTCCCCGGCTACTCAGGTTCTGGTACTATGCTACCGTCGTTTGCACATAGGGTACACCTCTCCTTTTGTTCATACTTCTTAAAAGTACCTAACTGACAAGTTATGTTTACAGTACCGTATATCCTGGGGATGACGGAAATTGTAATCGCAGTTTCGTTATCTACTTATCGCGCATCCTTTCTTACACGGCTGAAATTGCAAAAACTTATCGCGCTGCGTTGAACAGCAGCCCGCACCGCACCCACCTTGTCTGTTGGGTCCACGTCCTAGTTCTTTTAGAGTCTGGCCTGTTCGGGTGTTGGAACGGTAATTATAAGTTGCAGAGTGGTTATGTGTACATTTCAGTCTGTCACACGGAGAAGCCACCCCCCCCACCCCCAAAGTGCGACTAGCTACTAAAACAGGCCGATTTCAGGAAAACCTTCCCAGTCTTCTCCCGATTCCATTGTAAACATTACTCCCAACAGCCGCAGCTCAGACCACAAGCAGTCCTTCCAGGTTTCCTCGTACGAGCGCCATCTAGTTCGACACTGTACGATCGCTGTTCCAAATGGCGATGGCGGGCGGCATGGAGTTGAGGTTAGACGGAGTGGTTGTGAAAGTGCAACGAGCAGAGACGGCGGGCGAGATGAGGGGGATGACCGCATGCGCGAAGGAGCAATCGGAGGAGTTAGAAGCGCAGGTGAAGAGGCAAGGCGAGGCCATGGCAGCTCTGAAGCGAGAGGTGGACGAAATGAGGCGCGCGATGGCGAAGGGGGCGCTGGAGATGATGGGAGCGGCGGAGATGATGGGAGCGGCGGAGATGATGGGAGCGGCGGAGATGATGGGAGCGCCGGAGAACCACGGCGCGGGCAGTGCCGCGGCAGGAAAGGGCGGTGAGGCGCTTTCAGCGCAACCGGCGGCGAAGGGCGAGTCGCTTATGGCCCTGGGGAGGCCATGATCGCGGCGCGGGTGAAGGACGTGCGGGACGAGCTCGAGTCGCAAGTGAAGGGATTGAAGGAGCAGGTGGAGGCGGCGAGAGGCGAGGCGAGGGACGCGGCGAGCGAGGTGAGGGCGTTGGTTACGCAGCAGGCGGCGGAGATGGCGGACGTGCGCGCGACAGCGGCGCACATTGACGCGCGGATGAACGACGTGGAGCTGGCGGTGGCGGAGTGGAAGAGCGCGCGCGAGACGACGCGCGCGGAGTGCAGCGACGGCAGCGACGGCGGTGCGAAGGAGCATAAAGAGGCGGAGGGGCGCGCGGGGAAGAAGAGGAAGTGGGAGGTGACAAGTGCGGCAGATGACGCCGCTGATGGTGACACGGCTGCCCATGAGACGCGCGATGACGCGGACGACACGGTAGTGGAGGTGGAATGGCAGGAAGTGAAGGGCTGGTTTTTCGCGTTGGGAAGCAAAGTGGAGAAGCTGGAGAAGACGAGTGACGAGGGGAAAAGGATATGGGAGGTGCGTGCTTCGATGAGGGTTGACTCCAGGATTTATCTGTTTCTGCTAGTAGGACGACACCGATGGCATGATGTATGGTAACACGCCCTGGTGCTGTCGTTACTGGCTGCTGGTACAAACACGCCAGCAGAACCACCATCACCCTCACACCTCACTGTGAAGTACCCGCTCTCAGCTGTCATTCCATCGTGCTCGTGTCTGCCATTGTGTTTGCCCTGGCTGCAGGCAATGCTCACTCTGTGGGCGGCAGCACTACCAGACGAAACTCGAATCAACCTCAGCGGCATCTCCTGCCTCACCGACGCTGCTCTCAGCCGCCTCGCCTCATTGCCCTACCTCACCTCAGTCACCCTCAAAGGCTCCTCCGGCTTCACGGCAGCAGGGATGAGGAAGCTGTACTCCCTCACAGAGCTGGTCCGTTTGGAGCTAGGTTCCTCTGCCACAGATGATGCCGCCCTGGAAGGCATTGCCTGCCTCAAGAACCTGCGCACCCTTGCAGTTAGCAACACCAACATCACAGACGTGGGAGTGGCGAGGCTGCAAGAGCTGTATTCTCTTACGAAACTGTGCATGACCGGATGTGCGTCTGTTACGTCTGCCAGCATGGTGCATGTGGGCAGAATGACATCGCTGGAGTGCCTCACGCTGAATGGTAGTGGGGTGACAGAGGATGGGCTGCAGCATCTGACTGCCCTCAAGGTCTTCAATCTGCCTCCAGGTGTGACTGACTCGGGCTTGAAGCACCTGCGGAGCATGAAAAGCCTGGAGAGGCTTTCACTGAAAGATGCTAGAATCACCGCGGCAGGCATGCAGTGGCTCAAGGGCCTCACGTCCCTCCAAAAGGTTTCGACTTCTTCGAGCGAGGTTGAGGAATTTGTAAGGGACATTCTTCCAGGGGTAATTGCTACATCAGGTCCCCTCAACGCGTGACGTGTCGATACCAACGACAGTGATGATACCATCGCGGTTAGTGCATGTCGGGTAGAGATCTTTAGCAGAAGTCAACGTTTTGCTGGTCGTGTAACGTTGGTACCAGATCAGACAACGTTGAGAAACGGATAGCTAGTAGAACAAAAGGCCCGCTTGCTTTTTGTTGGGCTGAGAAAAGCCCTTAGGATCTTTGCGGGGGTAAAACTCCGGTAGGACTATGTAATAGCGGAAGCGTATTAGTGGAGAATTTGTGAACCACCTTGCGCTGGTATGTGAGGGCAAAGTAAGTTGATTATAGCAAAGGGATACAAGAATATATAGAAGATTACAAGGAATACGAAAGGATATAGTTGTAACTACTTTTGCTGTTGCGGTTCGATACAGTGACGACTCGGGCAACTGCTCTGTAACGAGTCAGTTGTGTGTCCTTGCTGTCGCGCTGCACTTGTCAGGTCAAAGGTCGCTTGACCTTTGACTTTCGCGTAACCTCCAGCAACCTCTTTTAACCTCCGAGGGTTGACTCGCGGGTGCTTCGATGTGGCGTGCTTCGCTTCTGGTGTGGTGTTTCGACACGACAGAGGCGTTTACAATTTATTGTTTCCAACACTCCCCTTCGCTTCTGGAGTGTCGCTCTTGATGACGTGGCTTTGTCCAGTCAGCAACATGCAGTACTCGAATTTCTGCTTCCCGAGCTTCTTGGTCAAATAGTCGGCTGCCATCTCGGACGTGGGACAGTATGACAGTTCGAGTCTCCCTTTCTCGATCTCGTCTTTCACGAAGAAATAGCGCAGGGCGATGTGTTTCGTCCTGTTCGCAAAGCCGTTCTTGTTGGCAATGCGGATTGCCGACTGGTTGTCGCAGAACAGTGTGAAGTTGGGTAACTCGGCTAACTTCGCTTCTTCCAGCAGCTCGCGAAGGTAAAGGCCTTCCTTGGTGGCTGAGCAGAGTGCTATATATTCTGCTTCGGCCGATGAGAGGGCAATTAATTCCTGCTTACTCGATTGCCAGGAGATAGGACCGATGGGTTCGAGACGATAGATGTAGCCGGTGCGTGAGCGTCTGTTGTCGGAGTCGCCGGCGTGATCGGCGTCGACGTAGCCGATAAGTTTAGTTGGTGCGGTTGCGTTTTTGTGATACGTTAACCCGATCTTCGGGGTGCTGACGAGGTAGTTAAGAGCGCGATCGAGTTCTGCTAGATGTTCTGCTTCAGGTTTCTTGAGGTGGGTGGCGAGCTGGCTTGCAGAGTATGATAGGTTAGGACGGCAGGTGACAGCTGCGAAGAGGAGACACCCTAGCTTTCTCTGGTAGTCACGTATTCCGGCGGGCTTGAGTAGAGCGGGGTTTCCCGTGCTGTTTCCTGTTGTGTAGCGGTAGGGCGTGGAGATGGCGGTTGGTGTGAGAGCGAAGCGTTTGGCGATGGTGTCGGCATATTTCGCGGCGTTGAGGTAGATCGCGTCTTCTTCTTCTCGGATGTTTAGGCCGAGGTACTGTGTGACGGTAGGTGAGACTGTGAGAGTGAGGTCCTTCTGCAGTTCCCCTTCGAACCAGGAGGTGACGTTGTCAGTCGAGCCGATGTAGAGTAAATCGTCTACGTAGACGATTAGGAGGATGTAGTCTGTACCCTTCGTGAGCCGATACATTCCCTGATCGTGCGGTAGCTGCTTGAAGCCGATGCGAACGAGTCGGGCGTGCAGGTACTGTTGCCACAGTCGTGGGGCTTGTTTGATGCCGTAGAGCGATTTGAGTAGTTGACAGACGTGTGTGGAGTCCGTGCTGGAGCCGTGTGGTAGCTCCACGAAGATCTCTGCGTCAACAGGTGCGTAGAGAAAGGCGTTTGCGACATCGATTTGTCGTAGCTTTTTCTTCTTCATGGCGGCGATCGCGAGGAGAATGCGTAGTGAGGTGTGTCGGCTGACCGGAGCAAAGGTTTCGGTGAAGTCGCGTCCGTGTTCTTGGTCGAAGCCGCGTACGACCCAGCGCGCCTTGAATTTGTCGATGGTGCCATCTGCTTTCGTCTTCACGCGGAAGACCCATTTTCCGGTGAGAATGGTCTTGTTTCGTGCTACGCCGATAGGAACGATTTTCCAGGTGTTGCGTTCTTCTAGCGCTTTCAGCTCCTTGTCCATGGCTTCACGCCATTTTTCCCTGTGCTCCCCCCCAGAGCCTGCTGAACCGTTGCAGGCTCCTTAGGAATGGCGGCGCCGTGGACTGCGGTGACGAGCCCGAGTATCTGGAGTCCACTCTGTGTGTAGCGGGGGAGTGTGGTGTCCTCGGGATAGACTGCCTCGTCTCCAGCTTCTGGATCAGGTGCGAAGTTGGGCCCTATGCGTTCTGCTTCGTTGGTGTTGACTTCAGCAGGTGTAACGTAACCGTTGTCGGCGAAGTGGTAGTAGGTTTCGGCGTTGACGCTTTCGCGAGGGTTATCTTCGTCCATCGGTACGTCCACTGAGCAGTAGGGGAGAGGTCCGGCTTCTTCCGAGGCTCCTTCCACGTTCTGCTCGTCCCAGTCAGCTTCGTCTCCTGCCGAAGCGAAGGCTCGATCGCCACGGAAGCCACCTGTGGGGTCTCGATTTTCGTCCAGGTTGGCAAGGTATGTTGGCAGTGTGAGCCGCTCGTAGAAAATGACATCACGTGCTGCTACTGTTTCCTTGGTGTGGATGTCGAAGATTTTCCACGCGTTGTAATGTTTTTTTATGCCCAGGTGTAGTCCCCACTGTGCGCGTTGGGAGAATCGGCCGGCTCGTGCAGATGGGGGTCGGTACTGTACCATGCAGCCGAAGACTCGTAACATTTTTGTGCTGCCCAGTTTCCCTGTCCACAGTAGATGCGGTGATGCGTTGTTCGGGAGTGACGACGAGGAAAGCAAGTTGTGCAGCATCACGGCGTGGTCCATTGCTTCGGGCCACTGGTGGTTGGGTAGTCGCATGCCACGTAACAGTTTGCGCATGGTGTTCTGCAGAGTCCTGTTCATCCTTTCTGCTACACCCTGCTGTTGATGGGCGTAGGGAAGGGAGATGAGTCTCTTGATTCCCTTCTCCGCCAGATACTGCTTGAACCGCTGTGACGAGTATTCTCCTCCTCCGTCTGATTGAAAACTTTTGAGCTTAGCTCCTGATTCCCGTTCTGCTGCTGGAAGCCATGCCACGAAAGCCTCGAAAGCCATGTCGCGACTTGGTAAGTTTAGGTGCCAGACGTAACGTGTAGCGGCGTCGATGAAGGTGATGGTGTAGTTATACGCGTTTTGTCCGGGTTCGCGGTTGTACAAGATGTCGCTGTACACTTTCTCGAGTGGTGAATATGCAGGTGCGCTTGGGTTGTGATGCGAGACGAAGGGCTGATGCGGTAAGTCAGCTTCGGGGCAGGTGAAGCACGTTCCTCGGGCTCGCTGAAGTTCTCTGCCGTCGATCAGTAAGAGTGAATCCTTGTCCGTGTTGTTTAATGCTGTGTTGCTTGGGTGTCCCATTCTTGCGTGCCAGGTTTCTTCGTTGGCGCGGTGTCCTGGCGAGCGTCGGTACATGTCGGAGTTGGAGTAGAAGCCGGCGATGATGTTCGCGCTTCTGTGAACTTCCCGTGGTGCCGGGTTGAGCTGCTGCGCCGGTGTTGGCGGCGTCTCGTCGATGGAGGGCTGTGCCGTTGAGGGACCGGCGACTGGTGTTGATGTTTCTGCTGCTGCTGCTTTTGTCTGTGCTGCTGTCGATGTTGTCTCTGCTGCTGCCAATGTTGTCTCTGCTGCTGCCGATGTTGCCTCTGCTGCTGCCGATGTTGTCTTTGCTGCTGCCGATGTTGTCTCTGCTGCTGCCGACTGCTGAATTGTCGCCAGCGCCCTTGTTCTTTCTGTTTCAGGGATGGTGTGTGAGTACCAGAAGCCGCTCGGGCTGAAGTCTGGATCAAGATCTGGAGGATGTGTCCAGTCAGTGAAGTTGACGATGGCGTCGCTGTCGGCCGTTCCGAGATCGGGGACGAAGTCAAGAACGAAGACGTTGTTCTTGAGAACCGCCTTGCCGATGTAGAGACCTCCTCTCCCGTGGTACAGCTTGAATTCCTGGGTTGTGCTGTCTGCTTCAAGGTGAATGCCTTTCGCCATCAGTTGACTGACGCTGAGTAAGTTGTAGCCGAGGCCTTCTGCAATTAAAACCTTGGACATCTGTAGAATGACGTTCGTTTCTCGTGACTGAAGTTGAACAACTCCTTGTCGTCGTGTGCGCAGGTTCTGATTGTTGGCGACGGTGATGACCACCTCTCGTTGAAGCTGGTATTCTCGTTGTACGAAGCGTCCTGAGGAGCACATGTGTTGTCCGCAGCAACTGTCCAAGAACCACGTGTCCTTCCCGGATGGCTCGTTTTGGGCTATGGCAGCGTATGTCGGGTTCGGCTGAAGTGACTCGCGGCGTGGTGTCGTTTCGTCGAGTTGCTCTTCTGGTGAGTAGTACGGTGGTGATTCTGTGATGCAAGAATCGTTCAGTCTTGCCATGCAGCTAACGATGTTTCTTGTTCCTTGCGCAGGTTGTCCCGTTGGAGTTGTTGAAGATTGGAGCTGGGTCGTTGGATTCGCCTGTGTTGATGCGACTTGATTGCTTGAAGGTCGTAGCTGTCGCTGCGGAGTCGTTGACTGTTGTCGATTCGGGCAGTGCGTGCGCGGGTGTCCTGAAGTCTTGCAGATGTGGCAGAAAGGAGGTACTGGCTTCGGTTGTTGCTGTCGATTGTTGTAGTTGTTGTGACGTCGTTGAGTGTGAAACGCGAACTCTGATGTTGTCGTCTTCTTTCTGTGTCGTTCTTCTTGCAGGTCCATGTCCTGCTGCTCGGCGTGGATTTCGGCGCAGAGTGCTGCTTCAGAAATTCTGCCGTGGGCTCGATGGATAGCTTTGGTGGCGCGCCATTGGGGACCGAGACCACCAATGATGACTGTCACGAAGGCGTCTTCAGAGATTGACCCTCCGCATCGAAGAAGCTTGTCGCGCAGTTCCCGACATCGGCTGATATACGTCATTCCCTTTTCTCCCGGTTTCATTTCGACTGTTGTCAATTGCGCCATTAACCTGCTCTGGTTTACACTGTCTGTTGCTTGGTACAGGCTCTTCAGGTGGCTGTACGCGAGTTCCGCCGAGTTGCCGTAACCCCGGTAAGAGCGTATGTTTTGCTGCTGAGTTGGTGTGACGTTCCTCAGCAGAATCGTATACGCCATCATCGATTGATACGTATACTGCTGCTTCTCATACTGTGTGCCGTTTGCTGGATATTGCAGGGACCCGTCGAAGAAGCCGAGTATCTGCGCGCCTTCCATCATTAACTCGAACTCGAATGACCAGGTGAAGAAGTCCTTTCCGTCGAAGGGCCTTGATGTCTGCAGCTTTAGAACGTGCGCGAACTGTGATTGCACTTGTAACGCGTCCAGTGGTTTATCTTGTCCAGGTGAAGGCTGCGGCATGAAGCTGATCGACCCGCGCTCGTACGGGGCGAAGGTAGGTTGCTGCTGTTGGTTTCCGCGCGCATATGACGACCCGTCAAGACTCATGGGTGTTGCCCTGTTGTTGTTGTTGCTGTTGTATGACTGTGCAGGTCCCGACTGCTGGTGCTGCTCGTAGAAGGACATGAAGGAGAAGAACTTCTCCATCATGTTTTGGTCGAAGCTGGCGGGGTGATTTACGGGAGTTTCAGTAGATGTTCCTCTAGGTCTTGTTGCAGTGCCCTCCTCTGTCTGCAGGCCAGAGGCAGGAGGTGGAGTAGGAGTAGTGCCCGGGGAGCCGTTGGAGGAGCTCCTTTCCTTGTTTGTTGCCATGTCTTGTAATGACTTGATAGTAGTGGAGTTTCCCCTGTTAGCTCTCATACCATGTTGGGCTGAGAAAAGCCCTTAGGATCTTTGCGGGGGTAAAACTCCGGTAGGACTATGTAATAGCGGAAGCGTATTAGTGGAGAATTTGTGAACCACCTTGCGCTGGTATGTGAGGGCAAAGTAAGTTGATTATAGCAAAGGGATACAAGAATATATAGAAGATTACAAGGAATACGAAAGGATATAGTTGTAACTACTTTTGCTGTTGCGGTTCGATACAGTGACGACTCGGGCAACTGCTCTGTAACGAGTCAGTTGTGTGTCCTTGCTGTCGCGCTGCACTTGTCAGGTCAAAGGTCGCTTGACCTTTGACTTTCGCGTAACCTCCAGCAACCTCTTTTAACCTCCGAGGGTTGACTCGCGGGTGCTTCGATGTGGCGTGCTTCGCTTCTGGTGTGGTGTTTCGACACGACAGAGGCGTTTACAATTTATTGTTTCCAACACTTTTGATGGCATCTACGGTATCTACCACTTCTTGCTACACTGTGTAGCTTGCACTCTGTAGAGCGATTATGCTGCACATGTGCTGCCATTTGTCTGGAAGCAGCGCAGCGTCACAAAACCTGCCTCTGTAAAAATGACTTCCCAGAAAGAATGATAAAAGTGCGACCAGGTTTGAAAAAGTTCTAATCACGGTTCTTTACTGTATCATCGGGCCCATGAATCCATAATACTGTAATCACCCGGATGTACACTCTAAAATGCTTCTCAATTCCCCTCCATGAATCCTCCCCTCCCCTCTCATGACCTGCTTCTAGATCGCACCAGCAGCGCTTCACTTGCCTCTGCACCTTCTCCCCCACCTCCCCTCATCCCCAACCCACTCGACACATCCCTTGCAAGCCAATGCGGCAGCATGGCAGCAGCGTGAGGCAGGGCGAGCAGCAGCAGCCAGAGCAGGAAGGGGATGTGCTGTAAGGCGAGTGCATCCTGAAGGGCACCCCAGAGGGCGAGCAGCAGCACAAAGGCCAGGAAGGCAAAGAAGGTCAGGTCTGCGTTGGACGGCGCACGCAGGGAGTGCAGGAGGGTGCGGTGCGAGTGAGAGTGCGAGTCGGAGTGAGAGTGGGGGTGGGAGTTTGTGGCAGAGTGCCATTGCGCACGTGCTATTGTGGGCAGGAGGAGAGAGGCGAGCACGAAGGCAATGGAACGGTCTGCTACTGCTGTGTGTGTGCCGGCCATGGGAGGGGGTGCTGTGGCGAGGGAGGCAATGGAGGCAGAGGAAGGGGAGAGAGAGAGGGAGAGGAGGAGGTTGATGGCTGAGAGGGTGACCAAGGGGAGGGCTGTACAGATGGCTGCGGTGATAATGGGAGCGAGGAGGCTTCGGGAGAGGGATAAGGGTGGGAGGGGAGGTGCGGGGAGGACGTGGTGAGGAGGGGATGGGTTGAGGGAGAGGTGGCGGGGGGTAGCGAAGGCGGAGAGGGAGATGAGGGTGATGAAGAGGTCTAGGAGGAGCAGATGCAGTGGGTCGAAGAGCAGACTGGTTGGGAGGGAAGGAGCAGGGGGGGACGAGAAAATACATGGGGCCACGGGGAAGAGAGGGCAGCAGGGAGGAAACACGGAGGGGCAGTGCTCAGATGTGATGCTTGTTTGTTTTGGGAAAAATGAGGAGTGGGAGCAGTGGATTGAAGAGCAGGTTGCTTGAATGTGGAAAATTAGAGGGGCACGGTGAGGGGAAAGAGAGGGAGGAAGAGGTGGTGGGGGGAGCAAACGGAAGGACACGACTCAGATACGTGATGTGGACACAACGAGGGTCACACGAATCACACAACGGATGCTGGTAGGATTCTCGACGGAGGAGCAGGAGAGGGCAGCCGGGAAAGAGAAAGCAGAACATCAAACGGAAGAGATCCGGAGGAAAAGGGGGGATGAGAGCACGAGAAGGTAAGAGCATTGCCTGCCGAGGAGCAGAGCGGAGAGGGCGATGGCAGCAACAATGCCGAGGCGAGCTCCCACATGGAAGGCGAGGGCAGCGCGCACATGCAGCAGCAACGCACGGCGACACACAGCCACTGCTCCCTGCACCACTGCCATCTGCTCCCGTGCCCCTTCCGCCACGCTCTCCCTTCTCTCCTCTGCTGGTTCTCCTCCTCCCATGTGCTCTCTGCTGCTGCTGCGTGCACTCTCAAGGAGGGAGGATTCCGGTGGTGGGGGCAGTAACAGGGTTGCCTTGCGGGCGATGCAGGGGGAGGAGGAGAGAGGCGCGAGGAGTACAGGGGATGGGGGCGAGTGGGGTGACGGAAAGGAGGGGGAGGAGGAGGTGAGGGAGAGGAGAGGCGTGTCGGTGTATGTGGTGATGTGAGCGGGGATGAAGGGAGCTGCCAAGGGGGAAGGGAGGATGGGTAGGAGGGAGGGGTTGAGGAGAGACAGAAAGGGTCAAGGAAAGCGGGATGTGGAAAGTGCGGCACGGAAGCTTGCCTGGGAACGCAAGGTGGGTGAGAGAAGACAGCATGCATCTATGCCACAGGAGAGTGAGCATGCGATACTGAGCTCCCATGCTTCCCCCCCACCCTCCCACACCACACCATACCACACCAGACCTCGCCACCTCTCCCCTACTTGTACCCCCTTCCAGTTTCACCAATCCCCCATCCTCGCTCTCCCGCCCAAGCTTCCCCCACATCCCCGCTCATCCCACTTTCCCCACTCTCCCCACTTCTCAGCAAGCGAGCAGCACACACCGTGGGGTAGCCAGAGCAGCTGTTGGCCCTCACTCGCCAGCTGTGCAGCTGCTGCTGACTCAGCATCGCCCCACAGCCCCGTCAGCACCTGCACACCGTGAAGCACGCTTGGCCAGCTGGCAGCTGGTGATTGGGCGATGGATGAGAGCACAGGATGGATCGGTAGGAAATGGGTCGGTATTTGGTTGCCACTGCTGCCACAGCATGCTGACAATCAAACTTCTGTTGTCCTTTGCTTCGTGGCTTCTGATGCTGTAACAGTGTCACTGTGCATGCACGCACGTGCGTGTGTGTGTGTGTGTGTGTGTGTGTGTGTGTGTGTGTGTGTGTGTGTGTGTGTGTGTGTGCATACGTGCAGGTTTGTGTGGCACAGCGGGCATGAGGAGAATGCACTGCAATACTTTTCTTTCCTGCAAGCCTCCTGTGCCACGCAAACCCACAGTAGCCCCTGACTCATCTCCCCCCCACTAAAAACTCACCTGCACTGGGAGAAACAGACGAAGCAGAAGCAGAAGCCCCACAAGCTAAAGCCAAGCCACTGCTATCAACAGCACCACCAGGGGCATAAGCAGCCGCAGTTGCAGCAGCGTCATCCCTTCTGCTAGTCCCACTGGCAGTGGTGGTGGAAGGGAAGGCAGAGGCGTGTGCCGGATCACAGTGATTGGCTGTCATCATTACCGCCTGCACGCCCAGATCTTGCCACCTGTCAACAGCCCATTGGGTGGCTGCGAGATCCCACACTTCCCTTACCCCTATTGCGCCCAGAAAGACAACCCCCCTCTCTGTGCCCTGCTCTGCTGTGCTCGCACCACCATGCTGTTCCGTTCCCGCCCCTCTCTGCACTGCTGCTGCTGTTTCTGCTGCTGTTGGCGGCTGCTGCTGACGCGGTGATTGGAAGGAGGCGTGGGAGTGCGCGGGGGAGGGGGTGTGAGGAACGGGTGACGAGATTTGAGCATGGGGGCTTGGAGTGACGGGGGTTTGTGGATGGAGGCTTGGTGTGTGCGGTAGATGTTGAGCCCATGCTATGACTCGCATACCTGCAGGGAAGGTAGGGCAGGCAGGGGAGAGGTATGACAGTGGAGAGAGAGGAGAGAGGGGAAGGAGAGGAGAGTGAGAGGAAGTGGGGATCAGAAAGCGAAATTCAGACAAGGTGGGAATGAGATGCATGCAGGGCAGCGAAGTGGGAAGACGAGAGAAGAGCAAGTGCTAATGGTAGGAAGGTAGAGAAAGGAGGGGAAGGGAAAGGAGGGGACAGAGGTAGCAGCGGAGAGCAGCAGCGGAGAGCAGCAGCGGAGGCCAAAGATACTCTGCCCAGTGCCCACCACCCACCTGCCTGCTGCATTTCTTGAACCTGCCTCACAAGATGCGATCGACGGCTGTCATCCATCCATGCCACGTGGCAGCCATCCAGCAGCCCTCCCAGCAGCGTTGCACCTGTTCCGTGCATCTCCCCCCTTACTCTCTCTTCGCCCCCACCCCCCCCTTTCGCTGCTGCTCCATCTGCGTCTGCTCTCCCAATCACTCCCGCCTCTGATGTGCAGATTGTGCCACTTGCACTGCCCCCCGTGCTGCCACATGTGCTGCCACCTGCATTGCCCCCCGTGCTGCCACATGTGGTGGCACAGCACTCCACGAGCACGTGTGTGCACATGGACAGAACGTCTTCCCCCTCGCCTCTTGTCACCACCGCGCTACCCTCTCTCTCCTCCCCCCCAACCATCCCTGTGAGCGTGATTCGGGCAGTAAGAACGGGAGGAGAGTGGGGAGATGAGGTGCCGAGAGGGGAGGAGGGAGGAGGGGAGGAGGCGAGGTGTGTTAGGGAGGTATGGGATGGTGAGATGGGTGCGTGGTGGTGTGCGGAGTGGTGTGAGGGGTGGTGTGAAGGTTGGTGTGAGGGGTGGAGGGGGTGGATGAGGAGAGATCCTGAGCGCTTGGCGGAGAGAAGAGAGTTGATGAAGGATGAGAGGGGTGGAGACTGGTGCAAGGGGTGAAGGTCACTGGAGCATAGCTGCTGCTGCTCGCTCTCTTGTTGATGCTGTTGGTGTTGCTGTTGCTGTTGCTGCTGCTGCTGCTGCTTCTGCTTCGCCCACCATCGCACCACATGCCGTTAACTAGCGCAGCGAGCACAGCTCTATCCACATCATCACTCGCACCCATCCATGCCCGCCCCTCCCCATCACACCGCGCCAACCACCATGCCAACTGCACCTCACCTCCCACCTCCCTTCCCTCCTCCCCTCCCTCCTCGCCCCCCCCTCCACCGTCCTCCCTCACACCCTCCCTCTCCCCACGAGCACTCTCCCCAGCACCACCACTGCTGCACCTCTCCTCCCCTCCTCCCCCCTCACCCCCTCCCACTCGCCCCACCACACTACCCTCTCCCTGCCCCGGCCGCTCATCTCCCTCTCTTCCCATCCCCCCCAACATCCCCACCTCACCCCCTCCGTCCCTGGCAGCACTGGCGTGAGTGGCGTCCTGTTCCCCTGCCAGTGCTTGCCTCACCGCGTGCTGCCAGTGCGCCATGCGGCTCTCTGCTGCGCCCACACCACACAGCACAGCCCATGCTGCTGCCACTGCACGCAGTGATGCTACTCGTGGTGCTGCTGCTGGGGGGGGTGACGGTGCTGGTGATGCAGGTGGTACTGGTGGTTCTGGTGATGGGGATGGCAATGACGGTGCTGCTGATGGTAATGGGGATGGTGCTCGTAATACTGATGATGATGGGGAGTGCAGAGGTAATGGTATTGGTGATGGGGATGGTGATTGCAAAGGCATTGGTACTGGTAACGGTAGTGGTGATGGTGATGGTGATTGGAAGGGCACTGGTAATGGTAATGGTGATGGTGATGGGGAGTGCAGAGGTAATGGTATTGGTGAAGCGGCTGGTGTTTGCAAAGGCACTGGTACTGGTGATGGGGATGGGGAGTGCAATGGCACTGGTAATGGCGATGAGGATGGGGACTGCAATGGCACTGCAACAACTGGCACAGGCGAGGGAGATGGTGATGGTGCATTGTGTCTGCTACTCTCACCCATCTCCTCCTCCCTGCCTCGCCTATCCTCATCGCCACTGCCGTTCTCCTCCTCTCCACTCCCCATCACCTCCTTCCCTCCAGCCCCTTCCTCCTCTCTCACGCAGACGCCACTAGCGCAGGCAGCAGTAAGGCAGACCCCATCTGCCAGCAGCACTGCCGCCACCTCCACCCCATCCGCCCCATTCGCCCCTCCTCTCCCTCCCCACACCGCCCCGTCAACCCCTCCTCCTCCCTCCACCCCACCCCTCCCACCACGCCCATCACCCCTCACCTCACGACCCTCCATTGCAGAGTCACCAAGAGCAGAGGCGCGCGGCAGCAGCAGCGGCGCGTGGAAGAGAGCGGACCGGCACAGCGCTACCGCCTCTACCGCCCTCAGCCCACCCGCTCGCACCACCACGCCTGCCCGCCTCAACCCCATGGCAGTCTCAGCGAGGTGCACTGAGGGCAGCAGCGGCAGGGAGTCAGGGAGAGAGAGCAGCAGCAGCGAGAGCAGCAGCAGCAGGCAGTTCTGCCAGGGGCGCAGGCGCAGAGAGAAGAGCAGCGCCGCTACCACTGCTAGAGCCGTGCCGGATAGGCCGAGAAGACGGGCGAGGCGGAGGGAGAGGGTGGAGACGCGCGAGGGGAGGAGCGCGGAGGGGAGAGGTGAGTGTGGGGAGGGCCAGACGTGGGTGCCGGCGATATCGTCCTCAGTGGTAGTGGTGGTGGTGGTGGTGGTGGTGTCGTGCGTGTTGGGATGCTGTTGGGAATGGTACGGATGGTTGGGAGTGGTTGGGGGAAGCGGAGTGTGACTCGTCTCAGCACATGGCACCCAGTCCCCTTGTCCCTCGTCCCGCTTTACCTCCAACATGCCCACCATGCCGCCCTCCTCCTCATCCCCATCATCATCATCACCATCACTATCCTCCCCCATCACCTCCTCCCACTCATCCCTCCGCCCCCGCCTCTTCTCCCCCACCCTCTCCCCCCCCTTCCCCTTCCTCCCCTTCTTCCCATCCGTCTCCTCCTCTCCCCACTCCCCCAGCAGCGCCCCTAGTACAGTATCCCCCCCCACTGCATACACCACGCCCACCCCCCACCCCTGCTCCACCGCACACCCCCTAAGAGCTACGTTAGCACAGAGGCGCGGGTCTACAGCAGAGGCGGACGGGGGGAGGTGGGACTTGAGGGCGGGCGCATGCAGCATGCCGTGAATGGGCGCCTCGTCCAATAGCAGCGCAGCAGTGTAGATGAGGCGCATATCTGCTGGCACCTCCATCCCCTTTATAAGCATCACCAGGTCACCTACAACCACTGTGCTTGCAAGTACTGATTCTATGCGGTTGTTTCGGATTACAAGGGCTCTGGGGAGGGAGAGGGATGCCTGGTGCAGGTGGTGCTCTATCCACCTGAGGCGGCACCTGAGGCCCACCTGAAGCAACAGAGAGAGGGCGGCGAGCAGCAGGGCGAGCATGCCTGGGGGAAAGTCGCCTGAGAGGAGGAAGAGCGAGGCACAGAGCAGTAGAGACGTCTGGGGTTGGGAGAAGGAAGTGGGGAAGGGGGGGGGGGGAGTGAGGAGAGAGAGGGTGGAGATGCAGAGGGTGCAAGGATAGGAGCGAGAAGAGACGAGAACAGAGGCAGGCAGGCAGGCGCTGGCAGGAACGTGGCTTGCAGAGCAATGTGCATGTTTCGTGGCTTGCAGAGCAATGTGCATGTTTCGTGTCCAAGTGGGAGGGGTTGGATGGAGGGGGGAGAGCGAAGGTTGCGAGTGAATGGGAATGCATCAGTGGGTGCGCTTCAGCACATGATTCCATACACTACATGTGCATGCATACGCCACACACCCCTCGCCCCACACCCCTCGCCCCACAGCAGCAATGCACCCCTCTCACCTGAGCAGCGCCCCTCAGCGCGCCCACGCAGCAGCCCAGCACGTCCGTCCACGCCATGCCGCCCCGCCTCTGCTCCTCGCCGCCCTTGCGCGCAGCAATGAGGCGCGTGTGCGCGGCAGCAGTGGAAAGGCCGTGCAGGGGGGACGTGGCCAGGAGACTGCGAGGGGCACAGGGACGAGGGGAAGAGGGGTGGTCACAGGAACGAGGAGTGGGCACAGGAATGGGGGGAAGGGTGGGGGGCACACTTGCGTGCAATCCACGCTTCTGGGAACGTCACATTCTCATCGCGTGGCGTGGAGAAGACAGGCAGTGGGTCTCCCGCCAGCAGGGCTCTCACTCACTCACTCACTAACTCACTCACTCACTCACTCACTCACGCACCCGCACAGCGCGTGCACGGGCAGCTGCCACGGCGGGTCGCGCAGAGGGCGAGGCAGAGCGGAGGGCGCGCGAGCGGTGGCGCTGGGGTCAGTGCTGTGAGCGCTGGGGTCAGTGCTGTGAGCGCTGGGGTCAGTGCTGTGAGCGCTGGGGTCAGTGCTGTGAGCGCTGGCGCCACCGGCGAGTTTAGCGCGCAGCCAGTGCCATGCTGCGAGGACGGGCGGGGCGGGGCGGGGCGGGGCGGGACAGGAGGGATGGATGGGGGGTTGGGAGGGTAGGCGAGGGGAATGGCAGGGGAGGAACTGGGAGGGGAAGTGGGCGTGGAGATGAGACGTATGAGGGGCGTGGAAACAGGGGCGGGATATGCAAAGCATACGATGGAGGGCATTACCACGAAAAAGGAGAGGGGGTGAGGAGGGGAAGGGGGGATGGTCGAACGATGGAGAGCGGGGTGGTGATGCGAGAGGAGTGGTTATCGGCTGTGGATCCGCGCTAAGTCTGCGCTACATCCGCGCTATATCCGCGCTACATCCGCGCTACGTGCGGCCCTGTGCACAGTACCTCGTGCTACAGCCGGCAGCGCCAGGAACAGCAGCGCGGCGGCGACAGCCGCAAGTGACGCCGCGAGATGCGGACGCTGCCGCGACCCCAGGCGGAGCGCCGCCACTCCCGCCGCCACT